AGTGTAAGAAAGGCGCATTGCAAATAAAATGTATTATTATTATTAAGTTATCTTTTTAATAAGTCACCATTTATTTAAGGGGCTTTTGCACCCCATAGTTCTAGGAACTAAGTTCTAGGAACTAGCCAGTAAGGTAGTTCCCCTGCATTCACACCAGCAGTAGGAACTCTGAAGCGGCCGAAAGCGGTGCCTTTAAACGCAGCATTGGCAAATGGCAACAACCGGCAAATGGAGGACACCGCAATCAGAGCCGTTTTTGTTGCGTGTTGTGGGTTTCATAATATTGGAGACGGAACGTAAAAACATAAATTACGCAATTGAAAGAGCAAAAAGTGGGGCTAAGAGATTAAATCTCCTATGACAACTTACATATCATCGAGGCTGAGAAAAGAACACACTGCTGCAGACAACAGGAAAATGCCATTATCGTTGTGTTCCATGTTTGTGGGGTAAATATGTTTACATGGCTTTAAAAATCCCGGGTGCCTGTGCTTCACGTGCTTTTGGCCAATCAGTGTACACTTACATCACTGATAGTTCCTATATATCTGGTTTAGACCATACTCTGAAGCAGGAGCTAATTTAGTTCCCATAAAATTAGTTCCTAGAACTAAAATCATTCCTAGTTCCTGCGGTGCGAACACGCGTGAATCTAGGTACTTCTGGCAAAAGTTCTAGGAACTATGGAACGATTCCTTCAGTGTGAAAGCCCCTTTAAATAACGCTACATACAACACAAACTGCTTCAAAACAGCCTTAGAGTGATGAACAGGATTCAATGGCGCAAAGAGTTCAATCTGCTGTAAAGCAGCTCTTAAAAGAAAATAGTGTCATTGTTCAGCTGAGGCAAGTTCATTATTGATGATCAATTTTGAAATGAGTTCAATTCAGCCATAAAGTTGCTCTGCAAAAAACAGGGATGTACAGTTGTGCTTGCAGAATCCCCACATGTATGAAGAAATAAGAAGGATTAAAAAAAAAAAAAAAAAAGGTATGTTATTTCATACTTAGTACTGTCCTGAATAAGCTCTTTCACTTAAGAGATGTTTACATAGAGTCCACTAGACAAAATAACAGCAGAATTTATTAAAAAAATGACCCCGTTCGAAAGTTTACATACCATTGAATCTTAATACTGTGTGTTGTTACCTGGATGATCCTCAACTGTTTTTTTGTGTTGTGTTGGTTGTTCATGAGTCCCTTGTTTGTCCTGAACAGCTAAACTGCCTGCTGTTCTTCAGAAAAATCCTCCATGTCCCGCAAATTCTTTGATTTTCCAGCATCATTTGCATATTTGAACCCTTCCCCGCAGTGACTCATCCAGGTAACGACACACAGTATTAAGATTCAATGGTATGTAAACTTTCGAACAGGGTCATTTTTTATAAATTCTGCTGTTATTTCGTCTAGTGGACTCTAAACATCTCTTATGTGAAAGAGCTTATTCAGGACAGTACTAAATATGAAATAACAAACGTTTTTAAATCTCTCTTATTTTGTTAAAATTTCTCTATATATTTGGAGATTCTGCAAGGGTATGTGAACTTTTGAGCACAACAGTATGAAATTATCCCTATGTTCTTATCCAAAAGTGATATTATATATTAAATTAATAATAATATTAAATATCCTCAAATAAGAAAGCCAAAGTTGACAGTTGCAAGGAACCCAAATGCCATCAGGTGACAGACACGGAGGGAAAAAAACAACAACCTTGGGCTCAGTCACGGGGACAGTTCTCCTCTGGCCAAACAAACAAACATGGTGTGAATGTGACTGATGCTAAATGACAATTCAGATTGTGGACTGACATCACTCAAAAATACTCATCCATTCTCCTTGAAAAAAAAATCAGGATTCATCACACCCACATGGAAATGAAATGAAGCTGGTCATAGGGGTTTGTGCAGAGGACTTTCTTAAAGGGTTACTCCACACCAAAATGAAAATTTTGTTATTAATCACTTACACCAATGTCATTTCAAACCCGTAAAAGCTTCATTTGTCTTCGGAACACAATTTAGAATATTTTGGATGAAAACCGGGAGGTTTGTGACTGTCCCATTGACTGCCTAGTAAATTACACTGTCAAGGTCCGGTCCATCTGCCATAAGTGGTTCAACCGTAATGTTATGAAGCAACGAGAATACTTTTTGTACGCGAAAAAAACTAAAATAATGACTTTATTCAACAAATTGTCTCCTCTGTGTCCTATGTCCTAACCTATGCTCCCTTTCCCCCTCCCATCTTTCCTCTGTAGTATCCTCCTCTTTTCCCTCACCTACCCATTTCTCATCTCTGGATGTGAATGCAGCAACTGACACTTTATGCTCTACATTAACCTCTTGTCTAGACAATGTTTGTCCTCTCTCCTCCAGGTCAGCACGGGCTGCCCCTTCTTATCCGATGTTCTTCGTAAGCATTGGACCAAACTCGGGGCAGCAGAGAGAAAATTGTGCAAATCGAAAGATCCGTTAGACCAGAGTATGTATCAGTCTTTGCTTTCATCTTTCTCTGCTTAAGTCCATACTGCCAAATCTTCATATTTCCACAACAAGATCAACAGCGCTCCAGACACACGTAATCTCTTCAAAACATTAAATTCTCTCCTCTGTCCCCCTCCACCACCTCTCACCACTTCTATAACAGCTGATGATTTCGCCACATTCCTCACAGACAAAGCTAGAACAATCAGTAGTCAGTTGTCAATTCCACACACACACAAACTCAAACCAACCTTCACACCTTCTTCAAGCAATCTCTCCTACACTTTTACCAGCACTCACACACATCTACACATCTCTCCTCACAGACACCTTCCCCATTGCATTCAAGCAGGCTCGGATAACCCCACTGCTCAAAAAATCTACATTAAACACTTCACTTACAGATAGCTACAGACCTGTCTCTCTCCTTCCATTTATAGTGAAAACCCTCGAATGAGTTGTTTTCAACCAGGTATCATTGTTTCTTTCACAGAACAACAAACTGGACGCTAACCAGTCAGGTTTCAGGAGTGGCCATTCAACTGAGACTGTGCTACTGTCAGTCACGGAAGCCTTGCGGATTGCAAAAGCTGATTCCAAATCATCAGTTCTTATTCTGCTGGTTCTATCTGCTGCTTTTGACACTGTGAATCATCAGATCCCTCCTGTCTGCCCTCTCTTCACTGGGCATCACAGGGATTCCTCTTCGCTGGTTTGAATCCTATCTAATTGGTAGGTCTTTCAGGGTGGCCTGAGGAGGGGCGGTATCCAAAGCACATCAACTGGTCACTGGGGTTCCTCAGGGATCAGTTTTTGGACCCCTCCTCCTCTCCATATACACTACATCACTGGGTCCCATCATACAGGCACATGGCTTTTCCTAACATTGCTATGATGATGACACACAGCTCTATCTCTCATTTCAACCAAATGATTAAACGGTAGCTGCACGGATCTCAGGCTGCCTGGCGAACATCTCGGCATGGATGAAAGAACATCACCTACAGCTCAACCTGGCAAAGACTGAGCTTCTTGTCTTCTCTGCCACTCCAACTCTACAGCATGATTT